TTAGAAAATATTGACAACAGATTATTTCCAACACTGAAAAGCAGTTGTTTGTGGTGAGCTACTCAGGGCCATCATGGCCCTCTTGTTAAGAATCTGAGAATGTGTGTCCATTGTAATGGTAAAATTTGATAAATGCTTCATTTGGTTATTTTGTTCAACTGTCTTATGCCAGTGATATGATAGGTTTAATCTACTTCACAGTTGTTATAATCACAATATAATCATGTTAGTGCACTGTGTCATGTAGTTTCACTTAGTAAACTGCTGATGAATTTAGGAAACAACAGGCTATCATAAACATGATAATTATATGAACTATTTTAAGTCACAGTATTGTAATGTAGTTCCTGTTTAAATACTTGTTTATTTATGACGTTAAAGTAAGTAAATAATTGTTTTTTTCTGACCTTTTTTTATCAATAATAAAAAACAAAAAAAAACAAAAAAAAACAAAGGCATAATATTTCTATTTTACATCATTATACAGTATTTGAGATCAACTGTTCATATATCAATCATCAAGTTTTTGTTACACCCAACCATTTCTTTGACGAATTGACATATCCTTCTTTTTAAATGAATTCTACACACACCATTTATTTACCAAAAACACACACAAAAACTTTGCTTGCTCATTATACTCTCCAGGAGGTAGGATCGAAGGCGTGGTGGCCTAAATCACCGTTCTTCAATTCTCTGATTACCTAAAAATACTTGATTAGTACAGGACAGCTATTGTACTAGTGCTGTCCGAGGGGTAGAATTAGGAGTGGAAATCATTGTTGAGATTTGACAGGCATTTAAACGGAGATTATCTCTGATGTAATAGTTAATCAGAATAGCATATAATACCATGTGTTAAAATTATAATGTAGTGTCAATTTTAATGAGATGAAAACATGACAATGTGGAAATTGTATTTTGAAAATAGTTATAATATAGTTATTTTTGATTTAAGCTGGTCTGTTCTGTTTGAAGTGAAGTAGCAATTTCTGTTTTATGACTTTTGTCTTGTACTCCCTCACTTCTTCAACAAAGGTGGCCTAGTGGTCAAGGTGGTTGCCTCTCAACTCAGGGATTCAATGGGTTTGAGCCATACTTGAGTCACGACATTGTTTCTCTTATGACACCAGTACCTGTTGGATCCAGGAAAATGACTCGAAAGTGATAAATATAAGTTGCAAGTACTTGTTTTGCAATCAACCTTGAATAAATATGCTTAAACTAACAAACAGGCTTCAATCTTTTGTAATTTAAATTAAAAAGCAAAAAGTAAACCAGTCCTCATGATGTAGTTACAAGTTAACACATTTCTTCATCATGTCCTTTGTTTCTGATGTCAAAATTACTGGACATTGCTAAGATCATCCTCATTTAGAAAATTTTAAGATTAATTATTAAACATATTTAACCTTTAAGGACTAGGGTTATCTACACTGAAAAGTCTTGAGCAAAGAATGACTATTAAATTTAAGGCCTCAATTTTGATGCTGTATGCAGCCATATAGAACTAAATAGTTACAAAATTGGTAAACAAATTTGTTGACTTTTTTAAGGTGATGATCAGGGGGGATTATGTGGCTGTTTAAACCAGTACAGCTGTCACCAAACCATGCATATGATATTCATTAAAATTCCTTTTAACTAATGGATAAAATGAACAGACTAAAGTATTGATGTTTTTTTTTTTAGTATTTACAGGTATGATATAAGATATTTAAGATATTCTAGTTTCAGGTATATTGAAAATGTTTTAGGGTCAAGTAAGTAAAAAAAAACTTTGATGTACGCATTTTCCTATAGATACACAAATGCTGGTTGTGACGGTGCAAATTTCGTGCCTACCCACCGTTTAACCATTTAACCCCAGATCACACTTTTTTTTCAATGAAGAAAGGAATTAAATATCAACTGTTAATATTTTAAGTGCAGTATCTTTTGATGGTTTTCACAGCCATTTAAGATAGTGATGACTAAACTTTAGTTGTTACTGATCTTGACTGGGTAGTGCCCTTAGGTTCAGGGTGGGAGATCACATAACTTTTGTCACCACTTCATATGGTTGCACCTATGATTTGATGGTACAGTATTTGCAATTTTTTGGATATATCTGAGAATGTATCAACATAAAAGTTTGCAGATACTAGATAGATCTCAGTGGGTATTAGTTAGTTGCAGAAACAGCCAACTCATTGAGTTCTGTTGGTCTGTCTTCCGCTCACAATCTAAATGTTTTATTGCTACCCTCACCTTTGAGTCGTACACTTATTTACAGCTTTAGCAACTTTTCCAAGTCATTGAGTAGAACTCTAAATATAGACACATCCCATGAACTTTGTAGGTAGATAGATCTCATTGAGTAGAAGTACAAGAAAAAGAACTTTTACTCTGCCTTGCCTTATTTTGGAGTTATTGCTTTTTGTTCATTTTTACACTTTGAACTTTGTGACATAACTCTGACACTATAAGAGGTATGCTTTTCTGTGTCCAAAACCTGTTCGGGGAGCATCACCTGGTTCAATCAGCTCTTGTATTATTTTGACACACATTTTCACCAAATTACTACTACTAAATGTTCATGTCTTTGGGAAATTTCAAGGAGGTAAATTATCACAACTAAATGTTTCATAATTAAACCTTTGCGAGCATGATAGCTGACATGTCTTGGGTCCGTACTCTTAAAGTGAAAGCTACTTTTTGTGGGGGATCATCAGGATTCTCATTTAACATAAATGACATACATACGATATACGCATGCATTGTTCATTTATCTTGGTCTAGTCATACATTGGTACCCTGCATCATTAAGTTGTATTGCACATGAAACAGGTGTACATGTACAAAGTTCTTCATTTTTCTCTATATGAATATTTGGTCATGAAGATTGAAGAATATTTTTCTTTAAGTCTTAAGTTTGTATTTAAAGTGGTTCAGATTATGAAATTATTCATTAATTTGTCCTGTTATTTATGCAAAAGTGTAAAATAATAACTGATTTATTGCATGTTACCAACTCGACTGTATCAAAATTATGAAATCTTTATTGGTTATGAAGAAGCATTGACCTATTGTTAAATGTTGATGTGGAACATCCATCCTGCATAAAATTACAAATAAATGTTAGATAGTAAAATACCAGTCTCTTGATATCGTCATTTCTTTCCCTTAAAGATCACAATATACTTCTCACAGTGACTGAAATTACACTTTTACTCAGTGTGTGATATAGTATATTAAATGTAACATTTTGAAAAAAAAAGTAACAAAAACTTTGTCATAAATTGTGTGAAACTTGATGCAAGAATGTTGATTTTTGTTTTCTATATAGTATTACCTGTCTGTTTGAAGATGATCTACTACATGCAACAGTGACATAAGATTTTGACAACTGGTACAGGCTTATACCTTTTGATTAGTTCGTACAAGGTATATTTTGTACAAGCTTGGTTGTTCGCAACATGTGCCAAAGTTTTATGACGAGACCTACCTAGGTATGACAAATAAGTCAATGTAATAAACCTCGTGATTAATTCGGTGAACATTGTCCACTATTCAGTTACAGTGACTTGTAGAAAAATTTATTTCAGTTAATACGGTATATCATATTTTAAACAGTCATTTTGTTTGGTAGTTCTTAAAGCAGCATGCTTCCACCTTCAAGCTAATTTTTGTGAAAATTTGGAAAATGTTTTTTTAAGTAAAATATTGTAAGGTGAACAAAGAAAGCAATTTACACATGGCTAATGGCTCTTAAAATCCAAAAAGATTACCAAATCAAAGCGCTGAAAGCACTGCTGGGGGCGCATTATGTTGATTGTATTGTGGTCTATTGTTACAAGCAGATGCCATTCCTACTTTCAAAGCAGATGTCACATTTTTACTCGATTATTCGATAAGAATAAGTAGAATTATCCTAGTCATCTGAACATTGGCGTCTATCACCTCAATTTTTCCCGAAGTCCATTGACATATGGCATTGAAACTTTGCACACTTGATCCCGATCAGGCACCCATTTGTTAAAGATTGCCTATGGCTTCAAGATATTATCGTATTCCATAGACATCTGGCTTTGAAATAAATTGAAATGTTATACATTTCTTTGCGAGCATACTAGCTAGGACTCTCTCCAATGCTTATATCTGTAGAATATTGGGTTTAAAGAAATTTTTGGTCCTTTTGTGAACTTAAAATATTTTAAATAACCAAGGTTCTTCTATTGTCAAGCACTAAGCATATAGTTGAGTGTGCTGTCCTACCAACAGCTATTGTTTGCATACCTTGTGAAATATAACTCCTTCAAACTTTTGTTCAGTTATTATTATACAAACACAAGAACTGTCTGAGGACAGTAAGGCTCGACTATTCGAAAAAGTTGTCACAAGGGTGTTTATTGAGTATAAAAATGCTTACCAATGAATACATAAAAACTGACCGAAAAGGTACAAAGGCTTGGATTAAGATGTTTTATCAAGTAAATCACTGCTTTATTATCATGAATGCATAAAATTGTCCCAAAAAAGGCACAAACCCTTCAGTAGTTATGGAGGATAACATGCTTACAAGAAAAACTTTACCATTAAATTCTAAGTTGAAAAGGGGAGAAAAAATTAGCCTAAATTCTCGATAAAATTATGGATCTTGGTCAGTAACCTACATGTACAATTATGACCCTAAATGCATGTGAAGTTTTAATATTGTAAGCAGAGTTATCCAACTTGTCAATCTGATGTACATTGTTACTATAAATAACTATTGTAAGTTTCAATTGAATATCTCAAGCAATAATTGAGATATTTGACTTTAAAAATAAACTTAAACCAACGCAGACGCGGACGCTGGGTTACTACAATAGCTCTCATATTTTTCAAATAGTCGAGCTAAAAACTACCAAGTCATGGTTGAGACCATATAGTTATTCCATATATAAATATATATGTATATATCATGGAAAACATTTCAAGATGTTACAATGGATTGTAGTGTATAACAAGAAAATCAGTGTACTTTAACTTTAATCCAATAATCATACAAACATCTGTAAATAACTGGAACAAAATATTTCTTAAATAAAACCATACAAAACAAGAGGGCCATGATAGCCCTAGATCGCTCACCTGACTTATCAAACTCATCCAAACAATTACCTAGACAAACATTCTGACCAAGTCTCACGACAGGTGAGTCAAAAATGTGACCACTACAGTGTTAACAAGGATTATCCATATTTGAGAAGTGCGACCTTGTTTTTTACTCAGGTGACACATATTCAAACTTGACCTAGAAAATCATCAAAACAAACTGTCAGACCAATTTCCAGGATACTTGGATCAAAACAGTAGCAACAAGAGTGTTAACAAGATTTTTCTATTTTTTAGCTCCGGTGACCTAGTTTCACATGCGATTTCGAACTCATCCAAGCAATTACCTAGACAAGCATCCTGACAAGTTTGATGATAATTGAGTCGAAAATGTAACCAGTAGAATGTTAACAAGGCTTTTCCATATTTGGGCGGCGTGACCTAGTTTTTTCATCCAAGATGACCCATGTTGGATCTTGACTTAGAAATCATCAAAACAAACTTTTAGACCAATTAACAGAATATTTGGATCACAACAGTAGCCACTAGAGTGTTAACAAGATTTTTCTATTTTTATCTCCTGTGACCTAGTTTTTCATCCGAGATGTCCCATGTTCGATTTATTCCCAGCAATGACCTAGGCAAGTTTTCCTGACCAAGTTTGCTAACAATTGAGTCAAAATTGTGACCACTAGAGTGTAGACAAGGTTTTTCTATTTTTAGCTCCTGTGACCTAGTTTTCATCCGAGATGACCCATTTCCGAACTCATCCGAGCTATCACCTAGACAAGCATCTTAATCAAGTTTGATGATGATTGATGCAAAAATGTGACCACAAGAGTGTTTCTATTTCTACCCCAGGTGACCTACTTTTTCATCCAAGATGACCTATGTTCAAACTCATCCGAGCTATCAACTAGACAAACATCTTGACAAAAGTTTGATGATGACTGATGCAAAAAGGTGACTGCTAGAGTGTTAACAAGGTTTTTTCTATTTTTAGCTCCCGGTGACCTACTTTTTCATCCGAGATGACCCATGTTTGTACTCATCCGAGCTATCACATAGACAAGCATCTTGACCAAGTTTTGATGATGATTGATGCAAAAATGTGACCGCTAGATTGTTAACAATGTTTTTCTATTTTTAGCTCCGGTGACCTACATTTTCATCTGAGATGACCCATGTTCAAACTCATCCAAGATATCAACTAGATAAGCATCCTGACCAAGTTTGATGATGATTGATGCAAAAATGTGACTGCTAGAGTGTTAACAAGGTTTTTCTATTTATAGCTCCGGTGACCTAGTTTTACATCCTAAATGACCCATGTTCGAACTCATCCGAGCTATCAACCAGATAAGCATCCTGACAAAGTGTGATGATGATCGGGTCAAAAATGTGACCACTAGAGTGTTCACAAGGTTTTTCTATTTTTAGCTCCTGTGACCTAGTTTTTCATCAGAGATGACCCATGTTCAAACTCATCCAAGCAATTGACTAGACAAGCATTCTGACCAAGTTTGATGATGATTGGTTTAAAAATGTGACCACTAGAGTGTTCACAAGGGTGTTTCTATTTATAGCTCCTGTGACCTACTTTTTCATCAGAGATGACCCATGTTCGAACTCATCCGAGCTATCACCTAGGCAAACATCCTGACCAAGTTTAATGATGATTGGGTCAAAAATGTGACCTCTACAGTGTTCACAAGGTTTTTCTTTTTTTTAGCTCTTGTGACCTAGCCTTTCATCCGAGATGACTCATGTTCGAACTCATCCATGCTTTCAACTAGATAAGCATCCTGACCAAGTTTGATGATGATTGAGGCAAAAATGCGACCGCTAGAGTGTTCACAAGCAATTGTGGACGGACGACGGACATTCACCGATCCTTAAAGCTCACCCTGAGCAAGCTCAGGTGAGCTAAAAACCAAAAACTGATGATGACAGAACGGGTATCACTTTATGCCTATAAATTTTTTTTTGCTCCAGTGATTTTTTTTCGAAGAGCTACATGTGAATTGCTGCCAAATATACATAAGTAAAATCTATTTCAAAGCTGCATGCATTCATATAAATATATTTTAAAAAATCAAACTTGATTGAATAAAATAAAAAATCAAGGATAGCTAAAACTTGTTAATTATAAAAAATATATATACAGAATATAATGTTGTAGTAGCTCTCTGAGGTTTTGTATTTTGCTACGAGCAGCGGTGGGAAATTGATATCTTTGCGAGACTAAAGGGCGAGCTAGATAACAATTTTCCAACATTGCAAGTAGAAAAATGCATAGCCTCAGAAAGCTACTACAACATAATTTTCCTTTAATAATATACCTTTTCGTTTGAAGTATAAATGATTTTCATTATACTACACTTATATAAGAAATTTCAGAAAAGAAATGTAGCTGTCAAGAAATAAATTATGACTGACAGATGAATACGTAATTTGTGCAAAAACCAGCCACACCTTTTATTATTTTGGTTGCCGTTTCCATATACTATGTTATACACAGCTAAGATCAGAACCAACATTAACAAGAAACCGGTTGAACCGGGTGATGCTCCCCGAGAAGGTTCTGGACACTGGAAAGTATAAAAAAAAAAGAACAAAGGGCAAAAAACCCCAAAATTAGGCAAAGCGGAGTTATGTTTTTTTTTGCACTGCACTTCTATTCAATTAGATCTATCCATCTATAAAGTTGCCTGATGATATCAGAGTTATGTCCAAGGTAAAATTCAAAGTGTAAAAATGAAATTACGGTAATAACTCCAAAATTAGACCAGGCTTTCTTTAGGTTCTTTAAGCATTGCAGTTCTATCCAATTATATCTAGCTACCTACAAAGTTTCATGTTGATATCTCTAATAGTTTTAAAGTTATGTCTCGTACAAAAGTCAAAAAGTAAAAATAAACAAAGGGCAATTACTTCAAAATAAGGCAAGGCAGAGTAATAATTCTTAAGCACTGCTTAGAATAATGTCCCGGACAAAGTTCAAAGTGTCAAAATGATCAAAGGGCAATAACTCCAAAAGTAGGCAAGACAGTGTTACAGTTCTTGTGCACTGCAAACTTACTCAACGATATCTATCTACCTACAAAGTTTCATGTTGATATCTCTTTTACATTGAGAGTTATGTCTCGGACAAAGTTCAAAGTGTAAAAATAAACAAAGGGGGATAATTCAAAAATAAGGCAAGGGAGAGTTAAGGTTCTTGTGCACTGCTTACCAACTCAATAAAATCTATCTACCTACAAAGTTTCATGTTGATACCTCTTATAGTTTAAAGGTTATGTCCCGGACAAATTTCAAAGTGTAAAATAAACAAAGGGGGATTATTCAAAAATTAGGCAAGGGAGAGTTACGGTTCTTGTGCACTGCATACCAAGTCAATGAGATCTATCTACCTACAAAGTTTCATGTTGATACCTCTTATAATTTAAAGGTTATGTCCCGGACAAATTTCAAAGTGTAAAATAAACAAAGGGGGATTATTCAAAAATTAGGCAAGGCAGAGTTACGGTTCTTGTACACTGCATACCAAGTCAATGAGATCTATCTACCTACAAAGTTTCATGTTGATAACTCTTATACTTTTAGAGTTATGTCCCGGACAAAGTTCAAAGTGTAAAATAAACAAAGGGGAATAATTCAAAAATTAAGCAAGGCAGAGTTACGGTTCTTGTGCACTGCACACCTACTCAATTAGATCTATCTACCTACAAAGTTTCATGTTGATACCTCTTATAGTTTTAGAGTTATGTCCCGGACAAAGTTCAAAGTGTAAAAATAAACAAAGGGGAATAATTCAAAAATTAGACAAGGCAGAGTTACGGTTCTTGTGCACTGCACACCTACTCAATTAGATCTATCTACCTACAAAGTTTCATGTTGATACCTCTTATAGTTTTAGAGTTATGTCCCGGACAAAGTTCAAAGTGTAAAATAAACAAAGGGGAATAATTCAAAAATTAAGCAAGGCAGAGTTAAGGTTCTTGTGCACTGCACACCTACTCAATGAGATCTATCTACCTACAAAGTTTCATGTTAATACCTGTTGTTGTTTCAAAGTTAAGTCCCGGACAAGAAAAGGGGATGGACGGACGGACGGACAAGGCGGCGACTATATGCTCACCCGAAATTTTTTGGGGAGCATAAAAATAGTCCAGGCCTTTCATATATGGTACTGTATTTGTCTCTAACATAATACAGAATTTTCTAACCGTTGAAAACTATTTGCGCTTCAAGATAATCCTGTGTTTTAGGAAGAAAATTTATAGGTATATAATAAATGCTGTCATTGACATTTCTTATGCTTATATTTATTATATGTATTTCTTGCAATCCTATTTATAGCTACAAATTCTATGAATTAAAATAGAAATGAAGGTAGCATGCAGACGGTGTTGATATTGTGTGATAAAAATTTAAAGATCATTGGAAATCATCCCAGTAACCGAATACTCTAAATGACCGAGTACTCGAGTATTGATTTTAGTAATTGTTGCCATCCCTAAAAAAATTAAGTACTTGACAAGATCAACTAAGATCTAAATAAAAAACTTTGAAAACAGAATTAATTATTTTGAAAAATTCACTCTGAGCTGTATTATTTAAAATGGGTGTTCAAACACATTGAAAACATTGATAATTCATTTCATGTTCTTGGTGATGAAGTGGTGCCTCAATATAGTTATCACTGCATTCTATCTTCCCTCATAACTCCTACTATTACTGTATCTGTCAAACAAGCATCTCTGTTTTCTGAAATAGAGTTTTGAAAAAGTTTATTGCTGACCGAGATATTCCATACTTGTATGTTAACTTTTTTTCAGCATCTTTCTGTTAGAATTACTCTGATTTATAAAGGTATAAAACCAAAAAATGCGCGACCAATGCCAGAGCTCAACCCCTCTGATCAGATTTCACAAACGAGCATCTGAGTAGAACCACCGCCTTTTTTTAAAGCTAGCTGGATTGCTTTCTCACATTAAAGAATCCATATTAAATATAATAGAACATTGATAATTGCTACACAGTCTCTTTGTAAACATAAAATAAGCATGTTTTGTGTTTACATAAAGTAGCTATGTAATGTTAAAACACCACATGCTATAGTTGGTCACAATATAAATATATAGTGTTGTTAGGAAACTGACAGTTTTTTTAAGAAGGACCAAATTTTTTTTTGTCTCGTAAGAAGGAACATGGCTTCCAATGCATAGTTAATTCATTCAAATTAGACATATTCAAAAAGAATTGCATAGAATTCAATACATTTTCATGATTAAAATATTTTACTGATGAGCATAGTATATCTTTAAAGGTAAGTGGTTTAGGTGCATTACTTTGACTATGGTCACCCCAATTAAATCTATTTATTTACTTAGTAACACAACTTTTTAAAGTCATATAAATTTGTAAATGTGAGTGATTCTGATAATCTATATACAGCTAAGTCAAGATGAGATGATTAGGTTTTACTGACTGCTTACTACATGAAGTCACTATTTCAATGTCAAATGCCTTGAGGTGAAAGAAATGAAAACTTGAATTTCAAAATACAATTTAAGTGAATTACATGTCACAAATGAGCCATGTCATGACAAAACCAACATAATGGGTTTGCGACCAGCATGGATCCAGACCAGGTTGGTCTGATCAGGATCCATGCTGTTCGCTTACAAACCTTATTACAAGTAGAGAAACTGATAGCGAACAGTATGGATCCTGATCAGACTGGGCGGATGCCCATTATGTTGGTTTCGTCATGACACGGCTAAAATGTTTTTGCTATCGACTTTTGTTCCTAAATTAACAACAGATTGCATAATGAAAAGATATTGAAATAATTAATATACAATTGGCTCTAAGTGCCAAGCTTACAGATTTTAAATAAACTTTGAGCCCTGTGTTGGCCTTTTAACATGTCAAACATTTAGAAAGTATTTATTAAGGAAAAGTGTATACAAATAATCATGTACCTCTTCATTATATGCCCATGACATTGAAAAAACATTGTGTCATCTGTTTACTTCAAGGTTAGTCACATTGACAGTATCACATTTTAGACTTCATCTCTCGTGATTCCATTCATAAAAAGCATCCTCAAAATGGGTCCTCTTAATTTCACATTCATCAATCTGACAAAAACCTCCTGGAAAAGAAGTTAGAAACATATGCCACTAATTATGTCAGTTAATGTCAAATAAATACTTTGAGAAACTATTTGGTCAAAATTGTAAATATACAAAGATTTTCAAACCAAATATATATATAACAATGAACATTTCCTTTTTAACTTTCTAACATATATAATGTATGGTCTTACTTGAAGAAAATGTTTGCCCGTGTGACCGAAAAGGGATTAAGGACCATTACTATTGTTTTTCCTTTTGTTTATTAAAGGGCCATGGCCCCATATTCTATTGTTATGGAATAAATTCTATTGTTCTCTTTTGTTATGCTACAGTAAGATGGATATATATATCAAAGTCAGAAAAAAGCTAACATGTTTTTACCTTAATGGCCTGTATAATTATGTTTCACAGCTTCTCAGCAAACAACCAACTGAGCCACAATTGAAATCTAACAAACAAGCCTTTATTCACAAACCTGAAATAAAAACTTTTCCTAATCAATACAATAGTTCTTTTAATTTATTACATACTTCATTGAAACATTAAGAAATATTGATAAAGTAAAATGCTCATTTTCATTTCCTGTATTTTCAATGTAATTATTCATTTTTCATTGCGTATTTTCACAAGTGTCTCCTAAATTTAGCCTATACACAATAGACTGTAAAGAATAATAGGGGCAATTTCTTTATAATTTCAAAATATTTATAGTCGAAACAGTCCTTTTTAAAGGCATATATATGGGTAAGTTGAATGTTGCATGTCCAGATATGATTGACTAACAATAATTATTGTAAAAGTGAGTAATAATTGTCGGAATCATAGCTCAATCGGTAGAGAACATAGCTCGAGGTTACCAGATTTCAAAAAAAAAAATTATTAATTTTGTTCTGACATGTCAGGAACAACTTAGACATGTCAGGAACAACTTGAAATTTAAATGAGTTTTTCGTTTGATTGATTTTTGTTACCTATCTTACTTTTTCATTGAAGTATCTTTACCTTCTTAAAAATTATGCCCAAATCTCATTTCTTTCTCTTTTTTTTTAAACTTCTTTTCATGAATTTAATATGAATATTTTCAACAGATTTTAAAATAATCAAAATACAACACTGTTAAGCATATATAACTGTTGTCAGGATTAAGTTTTGTTTCATCAAAAAAAAAACTTGAATAGAAAATAGAACAGTTTCCACCTGTAGTTTGGAACCCACTAACTGAATTCACTTTTATATCAATATTATGCAGTCTTAAACTTATTTCACTAGTAAGTCAAATGATTTATTATCTCAAACAATGTAATTACATGTAGTATAAGTTTTATGGAAATAATGTGGTTAATCACTTGCAGTTAATCAAGGCTTGACAAATCCACTTGTCCGCTCATAAATGATAAATACGAGTAAAAATGACTCTGGACAAGTTAATCTCCCAAAAATGCCCATCCTGCAGGACATGTGAAATTTCTAGCATAAATTAATCAAATTTCAATTCAATTCTTTTGAAACCATTTTTCAAGTTTTACTAGTAGGACAGAGCACAAAATAATTCCCCTGTGTTTGATGGGCAAAACTGATGTTGATTTGTTGAATGCAACGCTTAATTCTGTCCGATTCTATTTTGTAAAAACTTACTAAAAGCCCGTGCGGCGATTCCAGTATGTTCCACAAAATTTTTTTAAAATGTCACAATGCAATATTTGGCAAATGTTTAGCCAGAAAGAAGTAAGTTAAACAGTGTCTTCAAAAAAGAAAAAATGTCTTCAAAAAAGAAAAATGAGTCAGAACATGTAGGAAATTTTTATTTTTTAAGCATTGTTGTTGTTGTTGTTTTTCGATCCCTGATATATTATTTGTAGTATTTGTAACTATTATCTATTCTATTTGTAATAGAACAGCATTTTTCCCTTATAAAACTATTTACATTCCCAATAAAAAAAGACAGCAAATTTTCAAATGTTTTATTTTTAAAGTCCCAAAATTACTGTCAAAATTCCCATCCAAAATTGGCATATATAAAATGGATGATTTCATATTGATAAGTGATATGTGATAAAAACCAAGTATAACTACATCTGACAGAGCAATATTTGTACCTAGTTCATTTTATACTTCCGAACATTATTTATGTACATGTACTCATTTTTTTCACTCCAATAAGAAATCAATATATTATGCATGGTTTAACTTTAAATGTGTATAAATATTATGCATAATTCTCATGTCTCCCTGGATAAAATTCTAAATTAACCATGTGGCATGAATACCTGTCAGTTATGTAGTATCAATTTGAGTCAAAACGCATTTTTCCAAAAAAAAATTGTACTGGTAGCGTATAGATGTTACACAGAACTAAGCAAATGTCAGGGTTTTTCAATGCTAATCCCCAGTGTAAATATAATTATAACCTTACTCAAATTTCTTAAAATGAGGGGTGAAGTGTCTGCAAAAAAGGGCCTAGGGTGAAGTGTCTGGGGGGTGAAGTGTCTGTAAGCCGAGGTGATGGACAAGGCAAGACATGTCGATTTTTTTTAGCTTATTATGAAGTTGCAGTACATGAGAGACTGGCACATGATGAATCAGCACATAAATAAAACAATCTAGTGTTCTGTGGTTTCTTAGTGTCATACCTCAGCTCTTTTCCTTATTACAATGAAATTTTACATGATTGTTATCCACCGCTGGTTTGTTTTAAGCAGTGAATGATAGGTACCGTTTCAGCAGATTTCGCAAAGAGGGTACAAATATGGATTATGCACCGTGGATCCAGTTCATTCTTTGAGAAAATGTAATAAGACATCATTACTGAACTTGTATATTTTTTATTAAAAAAATCTGTAAGGTAAGCATCAACAATATGTATACGCTAGATGTAAATAACTCACCTCCAAAAAATATATAAAAAAAAAAAAATGGGTCAAAAATGTCTGGGTAGGAAATGGTTTGAGGGAGGACTTTCAAGGGAAGGAACTGCTAAACTTAAAATTTGATAAGGTCAATTCAGTACAAAAAAGCTTTACCCGATAATGGCCGATTGTGAAGAAAATTTCTAAAAAATACAGCTTTTGATTGCAACTTAAATATCAACGTTATGAAATATAAACAATGAACATCAGTCATCTTGAATAACGTTGTATTTAAAGTCATATCCGGTATTAAGTCCTTGTATTTTTTGTAAGCAACCAGAATCGCCAACGATTTGACGACGATTTCGCCACTGATAAATGGATAAATGCACAACAAGCAAAGTTATACAACATTTAGGTAAATGGGAGATAAGGTTTTTGTAAAATAAAACTTACAACTCGTTTTAAACACGTGGAAATTCTATATAAACTTCTCAATCTTTCACGGATGAACTTGTAAACAATGGCGATTGCGGTAAAATGACGTAAGGGCGAAAATAGTTCGTATTCATACGCATGCATTGTTTTTCTTAAATTTACACTTATGAAGCATTAGGCCCTATAAGCTTTAAAGTTAGCTGATCTGAAATCCGTATTCCATTACTTGCTAAATTTTTGAGTTCTATGACACTTAATTAACTTGTGACTACATGTAATTTGTACTATATTTATGCAAGTACTTTGGCTATGATCGACCGCTGGCGTAGTAATATTAAAATCGCGTAAAGCAAAAATATACATACAATTTTAAAAGACGATTGCTAAATTTAGTACAAAATTGGCCAGTCAATTTTAAAATAGATAGGGAACTATGATTTTGGAGTTACTGCGAAGTTTTGGAACTATTTTGCTTAGCGTAGGTAGCTGACTAATTGTGTTCACATCATAGTAAATCTGAATTTGTCGTTATTACATTGGGGGCGCATTGCGCATGCGCCCCCAAAAAGAGGTCAAAATTGGCAAAAATAGTCATTACAGTGTTTGACATAGTTTTTTTATTACAGTAGAAATATGGTGATAAATACTGCAAACTCAGGCATTAATCGCACATTTATATGAATGATGAAAATTATTACTTTCATCTTGAAATCTTTATTTTTCTTAAAGTTTAAGTACATTTTTCTCTAGTTTGATTTTCTATACATATTTTTTGGCTCATCTGGAGGCATGCAGCTTTAAATGGATGAAGATATTTTTTTATGTGTATGATATTTTATGAAGTCATCCAGGATTAAATAAAGCTAATTGTTTACATAATATATGGCAAATAAGTAGAGAAAAGATATGGGCATTTATTTTGTGATATGAATTATATGAATGTCTCTCCATCTTATAACTCATGCAGATGTTAACATTACTTTAATTGCTTACAGCTGTATTAAAGTGATTCAAACAAATTGTTTACAGTACATAATTTCTCAATGACTTTCTATATCTTTTGTATATAACAAAAAAAAACCCTAAAAACGCTGACTTTTTTGAATTTCAATTTCAAAGTTTGCAACCAAAAAAAAAAAAAATAAAAATGATGTGATATTTAATTTAACTGTACCTGCATAGAATTTAATAAGGTTAACGGTAAGAAAATATATGCTCAATATGAGTTACATGGTCTGTTGAGGATCTACATAAGGTGACTGGGTACACATCCATATTTTTAAAAAATAAAATTTAGGGTTCTGGAAAGTTAACTGATGTAAATATTATTGAACCTATCATTGCTCCCAGTGTCATAAATATAATATGATTTGTAATGAACTCACAGAATTGAAAGTAAAGCATAGATTGGAAATGGCTATTATATTTTATTTAAATTCAAGGGCAATAACTGTTGACATCCTTTTTTTCCCGCTCAAAATATTCCTTTTATCATATTTTTAGATTCTGCTTTTGAAAAATTCTGGGCCCATTATACCCTAGAAATGTTTTTATTTCCATTTCTCAAAAGCTCCTTATTTTTGGTGTACATTCTACTTCATAATTTCCAACTACTTAATGAGTAGTTACTGAATTGCCAATTACCTAAACCATCTTCTTTTTTGGTAGCTTTTTGGCAGTTAGTACAGATCAAGTGATACATTTTTGTTACTTTCATGACAAATAGTTTCACATTTAGCACTACCTTTTTCATGTAACAAGCATCTAACCTGCTCTAAATCCATTATTTAAACATTATAAAACTCAAGGTAAGTAAAAATTAATTTGTTTCTGAAGCATTATGAATATGCCTTAAAGCAAATGTCCTGAAAGAGCATTTTATTTGGCCTTTGAGCTTCAATCAGATGAAAATGGAAAAAAAGTATGTTTATGTTGTTGTTGTTTTTTTTAATATGCTGCAATAGATAACTATTGACTGGTAAGTACTTATATGACCTATGGCACACATTTTTAATCAGTTTTACTTTATAAGATGAAAATTTAATCTCATTTAAAAACAGCTCAATACACATAGAAAATGTCATGATGGAATTATAATCTTATTCAAGGGAACTGTATTAACTGTATTAAACATGAGCAGTGATCTGTTAAGTATGAACTGGCACTTCTTATTATATAATGTTGAAGTTAATTAAACCTCCGCTCTTATGAATTTAATTGGACTCGTAAGGAGTGTTTGACCGTACCTCATTTTGTTGTACATAAGACCAGTTCATCATAATTTTAAATGTTCATGGCAGTACGGAAGCTCAGAATATATATCTATAATTGTCATCGAACTGATACTGGAATAAATCAGCATCTTATACTAATATACA